AATTCAACATCAAGAGATCGTGGTACTAGTCCACATCTTGGTAATGTCGTTGAGTATTGAACTAAAGCATTTATCATTTTAACTAACCCCTCATAAATATCAACTAAATACTGATTATAAATCATATCCTTTGCTTCTTTTTTTGCATCAATATTTCGATGTTCCTCAAGCATCATAACAATAACTTTTTTTGATTTGATCAGACACTGTTTTTTTCCAGTAATTAATGCATTAATCTTACTTGTTGCATTGGCACAAGCAGTGGCGAATCGTTCTTCAGTTAATCTTCTACTCATTTCTTCAATCTTAATTTTAAGTTCTTAATGAAAATCAGTTTTAAGTCATAAACATTTATTTAAAATATAATTTAATATAGTATTTGTTTTGAACACTTTTATTCTACTATTTAATATAACAAAAAAAAGAAAATAGAATGTTTGAATAACAAAATACAATTTCATTTCTTTTTATCAAGTTTAAATGCTTCACTTCTTATTTTCTGGAAATCAACACATAAAGAAGTAAAGGAAGGCCTATTTGCTGGTTGTTGGTGCCAACATTTGACAACTAATTTATTAAATTGTGAATAAGGAGTTTTAACATTAGGAAGAGGACGAACTCCATTACAAATTTGATAAAATAAAGGAGGAGATTGTTTATTTTTTTCATAAGGGTATAGTCGATGTGCTATTTCCCATAGAATGATACCAAATGAATATACATCAGCTTCTGGTTTAAATTCTTGGTCTTGAAGTACTTCAGGAGCAATATAAGCAATTTTACTAACATCCTCTTCTCGTTTATCTTTAGTGAATTCAATTTTATTACCAATATAATTTGGTGTTGTTTTACCAAAATCAGCAATTACAGCATATCGTTCTTTAGTGATTGGATTAATTTTTATCATTATAACACTTGTTCTAAGATTTCGATGAACCATTTTGATAGAATGTAATTTTTTCATTCCAGTGCAAATTTGAATGATAAAGTCTAAATTTGTTTTCCAATCAACAGTACTATTTGAGTGAAGATATAGACTTAGATTTTGTTCACAGTAATCAACTAATAGTGCTAATGGAGTTAAGACAATACCTTTTAATGCTAAAAAATTAGGATGATTAATAGTTTTTGCAACATTTGCCTCTCTCATCATAGTAGAAAACACATTACCTAAATACCTAGTACTTCCTCCTTTTTCATTTTTCCCTTCATAAGAAAAAGTTTTCATACATACTTGTTCATTATTATAAGATGCTTCATATAATATATAATCAGTATCATCTAATAAATGTCGTTTAATTTTTACTTTACTTCCTTCTATCATTAAATTAGAAAAATCTGATTTTAATACTTCTAATTGAACACCAATTGATATATTATTCACTGAAACAATATGTTGTCTATAACTCCCTCTTGATATGCTTGGTTGACAATTGATAGTATCATTACTATTTCTTATAGCAATTCTTAAATTTTCAACAAGCATCTCTCCTACATCTGGAATACCTTCTTCTATACAAACTGGACATAAAACACATTCATTTGTTGCTAATTCTTGTGAATAAAATGATAATATTTCTTTAATCTTTTTATTTAGTTCCTCAATAAAACTAATACAATACAATGATCTTGTAACACTATTAGCAATAGTTCTGATTTTAATAATTAATCGAGAGTACTCTAGTTTAATCATAAGATAATAAATTTGGTCATGATCTTCAAATTCAACAAATACATATTGTTGGAACATATTAATAACTTTTGAATTACTAACTAAGATTAATGCTAAAATATGATCATATATTAATGGCGGTATATAGTTACTTCTAAATGACCATGCATATTCATTAAATCCTTTTTCTAATTGTTTAGGCCAAATACGTTCAATGACTTTTGAATTTGCTATAGATAATGTACTGTGTAAACTGAAAGGAATAAAGGGAATAAATTCTTTTGATTCAGGAATAGAATCATCTTTTAATTCAATACATTGTTGATTCTGTTCAGATGTTTTAGTATTAATTCTTTGAGAACTTGTGATGCTTTCTTTAGTCATTAAAACTAATTTATGTTGAGATTCCAGTGGTTTATTTAATAACTCTTTTAAAGTTTCTATTCCTCCTTCTTGTTTAAATCCTTCATAATTATTAATTAAATGAAAATTTTCAAACCACTCATCAAAATAAATACATAGCATATTATGTATTTCCATTTTAAATAATATAAAAGAGAATAATGTAATATTCATATTTCCACACCACTGTAATTTAGAATATACATCACTCATCATTCCAATTCCTTTTGTTGAACTTTTATACATTATATCATATATCCTCTCAAATAAATTAGTTTTAAGAATAAACACTTCTTCCATAGAGTCAAAACAAGGCAAAACTTTAAGTAAGTCTGGTGCATTATTTTTGATAATATTTAATACTGAAACACTTGATATAATAGTTCCACTTTGATCTAGTTCATCAATAAATCGTTTATATTTTTCTTTGTTGATTCCAAAAGTTTCAATAATTTTTTCTAATTGAGCTCTATTAACAATTGGTGGATTAATTTCACAATTTAATAATTCTTGGTCAATTTCAAGAAGTTCATATTCTTCATTTTCCCATCTATGTTTAAACTTTTTTATCCACTCAGTAAACTTTTCTGCCATTATTCGATTACTCTCTTTTCCTTTAGCGAGATGAAGAAAATCACATTGTTTAAAAGTGTCTTTGACTGTTGATTCAATAAAATCTTTTTCAGATGACTTAATGTCAGCGAGTAATAAAACAAACACAGACATTTGTTGTGGTAATACCAAATTAAGATAATATTTCCAATAGTAAATAGTTTCAATTTCTTTTGATGTAAATACTATCAAATAACAATCATTTCGTGAAAAATTAAATGGTATTGGTGATGAATCATCATGGTATATAAAAGTAAAATAATCTTTTTTATTAAGAGAAGAAGTTCCACGGATTTCATCATTTGAATGAAGAAATATAATATTGTTTGTATTGTTATTTGTCATAGAAATCCATTCATCAGTTATCATTTTCATAGTTTCAATCCCAAATGATGATGATAATACATGAATCTTACTAATAACAGGAGGCATAAAACAACTAATAATTCCATTTAATAATGGATGAACAACAGGTAATGATTTAATTGAATTATTATTTATATTAAAATGAGTTAATGAAGTTAATTGAGTTTGTTTTATAGAAATATATTTCAATAAATTAGTACTCAAATTGAGATCTTTCAACTGAGTCATTTCGTAAAGCCAATAAGGTAATTCTTTAATTTCATTATCAGCAACATCTAATTTAGTTAAATTAGTTAAAAAACTAATTTGAGTAGGTAACGTTTTTTGTTCACATGATTCTAATATGAAATTCTTAAGACTTGTAAGTTGAGGGAGTATAGAAATATTAATACAACTATTTCTTGAAATATCAAGTGTTTCTAGTTCTTTAATTTCAATTAATGAATGTGGTAATTTATTAATACAATTAGTTAACATTAATGTTTTTAAATTTACAGGAAATATGAATTTATCTAATGTATTTGGTTCAAAGAAAACTTGAGATGATAAGTCAAGATACTTTAAGTTAGTTAAACTATCTAACAAAGGAGTAAAGAACATAGATTTATTTCCACTATTATTTGAAATATCTAAGTACGTTAATTGAACTAATGAATCAAAGAAATGTTTAGGAATACAATTTAACTTACAATTTGATAATATTAATTTTTTTAATGTAGTATATTCTTGAAGACATTCTGGAATAATCATTAATGGATTATTACTAAGATTAATTACTTGAGCTTTAGACACATCTTTAATATAACTTGGTATTTCTGTTAAATTTCCTCGTTCATGAAGATCAAAGTTGACAGCTGCAGAAGTATTAAATAAATCAGTTTGTTTATATGTATAATTCATCCATCTAAAGAAGAAATATAGACAA